TTCTGCAGGTCTGTGTCCCTTAAAGTACAGTGCTTGTTTCTCACAGTAATAAAGAACATTCCCTTTGCGTTTGGACAAATTTAGATAGCATGTTACCAGAGTGGTTCTGATTAACAGTCTGGGGGAATCCATTCTCGCATAGCTCTTAGGAAACTTGCCAGTGCAACATTGTCATGTAGCCTTGTATACAATGTCAGCTAGAGCAGATAACTCTTCATGAGCAGTGAAGTAGCTACTGAGCAGCTGCTGCCTTAACACACAGCAGGGCCAAGCTCAGCCTTGGCTAGTAGCCTGAGTACTTATCTAGGATCTCTGGTGGATTTGCAGCTCTTGGTATTAAGACTGTTGCTTAGACTGTGCTTCTGATATATTTGAGGTTTTCTTTCTAATATGAAGCATGTCCACACCAGCTGGAGTATGAGCTATGGGTGGTGCCTTGCAGATGAAATGTAGAGCTTATTTCCACAAAACATCATGGAGGACAACCTATCTCCAAAACTGTGTTTAAATTAGGCAAGCTTATGAAGAAAAATTGTCTGCACCTATTACACATGAAGATATATGTACAAACTCCTGTCTCAAGACATTCGTATGCTGCACATAAACAGGCTGGAAGGGTATAAGAAGAAAATTATTGCTGTAGATATCCCCTTTCTATCCTAAGCTTCTGCTGTCAGGAAATCTCAGAGACAGGATACTGGGCTAGATGGATATCAGCCTGACCCAGCTGGGCTTATTCTTATGTTCTGTTTATTTATCAAAGAAGGTTGAGGAGGGAACTACTAGCTCATTTTTACTTTGAGTACGTTCCTTTGTTTTTGAATTAGGGGAAACTTTACTTAACGTTATCATGGAGAAAGATGCCTTGTTAAGAGGATGAATGAAGTTTGTGAATTAAAATGCTTCATCACCCCACCCAGGGGGCAAAGTGTATCCTTTGGCTCTTGGGCAGCACTGGCAAAACTATTTTCCAGACTTTGTAGGTTGAAAACTCCTGCATTTGAGTAGCTGTCTTGAGAATAATTAGAGACATTTTGTCTTAAGACAACAGAGCCTGGCAATGATAAAGCATGCTAGTCTATATGTCTGACAGTTTATGGTTAATCTGGCGCTTTACAGATGCACACTGCATGACAGCTGCAATGAATCAGGTTATTTGAAGGACTTTCTGCTCCCTAAAGCTTATTTATTCCTGCCTTTCTCAAAAGGGCAGAGAGAGGGGGAAAATAAAAGTGTAAAGCCTATCAATGAGGTAGAGGAGAGGGCCTGAAGCCAGACAAACCAAAACATTTAGAGATTCTGCTAATGCTGAGAAGATGAAAGGAATCACCAAATAAAAGGGAGCGGGGACATATTTAGCAGAGCCTCATTCCTAAGCAGCCAATTAGATCTAAGCAGGAAGGCCTCCATGCACATCTGAGAAGTTGTTTTCCCTTATAAAGTAATGGCTTGTAATGTTATGAGTAAAGGGGTTACTTTATTCCCAGTTTTCTATAGCAGTTGGGATAAGACTGCAACTTCTGTCCTCCTTTACCAAAAAAGTATGACATCTACAAGCTAGTGTATGGCCTCAGAGCCTGCATTCTTCAGGACAGCCGTAGCCTGTTTCCTAGGCGTGGTAGCTATACAGCTCCTGTGGCATGGAGTCTCAAGTACATTTTCTGTTCATACAACAATTTGCATAAGTTACTGAAAAATGAAAAGCTTGACTTAAGAGACATGTAGCTCTGAGTTTCCACTGGTACCTTAAAAGATGCTTGAAGTCAATGAGGAAGCTCTCGATGTACATGGGAACTTGCTAGTATCACTGTAGAGAGAACAGGGGAAAGTGTATGAAAGAAAAGCAGAATTACTTTTCCCAGTTGTTTTCCTTTCTCTGATCATATGCTGGACATGCTCATGTGATGTAGGCTGTAAAAGGCCAAACTTTTGAGTGGGTAAGTGTCAAGATCTTGGAGGAACTCGAAGAGAAATCATACACGTTTTGGCTATGGGTGCAATGAAAGAGCTACAACCTCAGGGTGTACACACCCTGGGCAAATTGCACTGTGGTGGTTTCTATACAAATGAGCAGGGTAAGTGCTGAAAGGTAGGCAGCAGGAAGTGGTCTCCAGAGGGGAAATTAAGCTCCTTTCAAGAATGGTATTTTGTTCTTTGTCTTGTGAAAATAGTTGCATGTTTGGGCTAAACTGGTATGTGTCTGTAGCCATAGAGGAAGGTTCAGAGATTTGATCCTCAGCATTTAAGGCTTGGTTGTCAGAAGACTTATTCTGTTCCATTCTTTTTATGTTCTTATCCCAGTATCATGCCATGTACATTCCTCCCCTTTCCCTCACCCCTCCGGCAGTAACCTGTGTTGCTGAGAAGAAAGGCATAAACTACTAATGTCATGTTTTCCCATGTGTTTTTATTTAGCAATATCTATATGATCGTATCTTGAGTAATGGGATCACTCAAAAGAAATACTTATTTTCTGTAATGCCCTTCAAGCTGGACTGACCTCATTTCCTTGCATAGTTCACCTGTTTGCCTTCCTTCCTTCCTTCCTTCCTGCCCCGGGACCTTCCATAGTGTAACACCCTAGAGACAAGCTGCCTGCTGAGCACTGGTTCGCAGTTGTGTGATGAATGCATGGTTGTGCAGCATCTTTAGGGTTTTGCTGTGCTGTGTTCCTTTGTACCCACCACTACTGCTAAGTCAGTCTCTTAAGCAGTCAGGCTGGCTTACCCCTTCCAGTCTGCACAATCCTATCTCTATCAGATATCTGCATATGGTAGGTCCCTACAAATACCTGTGTATCTTCCTTCTTGTCATATCGACAACTGCCCCTTCCGAGAGAACCTGTGTCTGCTGTGTCCTTCACAAACACCCTGAAAGCTGGGATTCCCCAAACTTTGATGCCTGCGACATGCAAGGTATTTCAAAATGATGCACACTCCCCATCCATAGAACTACTCCTCATTGCAGCCATTGCCACCACCAGTACTGGGGTATGCACCAGGCTAAGTTTCTGGGACTATGATGAAGTTTAACAGAGAGAAGAAGCTGTCTGTGGTATCTGCTAGACACTGTCCCCTGATATCCACAGAGGTCTCATAAAAAACTGTTGCCTGTATTTCTAGCTACACTGGGGTGCTGTGTGAATTGCTTGGCAGCCCTACTGAAGGGGTGTTTACTTGGCTTTGAAATCTCATAAGTGCTGTATCCACTAGAGCGTCATCACCAGTAAGTTGTTATTTTTTTTTGGGTGAGTGAACCTTTTTTCATTCAGGTAAGGAGTTTAGATTCTTCTGGATCTTTGTCCCAGTGTAGATGTTTCCAAGGAGTAGTAATAGCTTATGCTTCTGAAAACTTTGGACTGTGCTTCCTCCAGTCTAGGGGGTAATTGGTGCTTGTAACAAAATCAGACATGATACTGCAGTGAAGGGGTTTCCTGTGTGAAATTCTCATTTCTGTTGACTTGATTTTGCTGATCGCTTATGTTCCTATGAAAGGTACATAATTTCTGTTAGCTATGTCTTTGAGTGTTTGACAAGAGAGTATTTCTTTTCAGCTGTTCTTTGAGGGTCAGTTGGAGATGTGCAAGAAAGTATCTGCTTATATCCTCTGTTGTGGATGGCTTACCTTGGTAGTTTGTGGGAATTTTTTTTATCATTATTATTTTTTGGTTATTTTAAAAAAATATCTCTTATCTTTTGCCCAAATGCTAGAAGTGGAAATCACAAATAGCTTTTGCATGGCTCATGATCCAACACTTGTTAGCTTCTGTTTCTGACCCTCAAAGCAATTACATTCCTTAAAAGTTCCTTTCCTTAAAAGTTAAATTCCTTTTGGTTTTCAATCCATAATTCTTCCTGACTGCTATCTTTACATGTTGCCTAATCCTCAGATCTCTGCACCGGACCAACTCCCTCTGCGGTTGTAGGGGGGATCTCTGGCATTAAGACTGCTCCATTAGGCAGCACTCTGTAAGCAAACACATGACGCTGCTCTCATCTGTAACAAGACTCACAAAGCAAGGATCTCTCTTGGATTCTCACGTCGTTCTTGGCTCATGTGCACAGACCAGTTGTGAGTTTGTAATTGTCGAGTGATGGAGTTTAGTCATGCTGATTTCTTGTCTTTAGTAGTAATTTAATGGCTATGTATTATTGACTATGAAAGGGCAGCTCCACGAAAGTCAGCTTGTCTAGAGAACAGCTGGCTGCAGCTGTAAAAATCCTGTCGTGCTCTGAAAATAACTTGTACAGTGAGAACCCTTGCTTTAGTCGCTAAAAATATATTCAGTGGCAGAGCTAGCTGGAGGTTATACAATTCAATAACTTCATTATAAGCATTTTGAGATGTGAGTTAACACAGACTTGTGGCCATCACTGGAGTAACACCAGGATGAAGTTGGCCCACGGTTCCTAGGGCTTTGAAAATAAGCCGACAGAGAAAGAAAATTGATTCTCACCTATAACAAGCTGATCATAATCTTTTAACAGAACATTTCCACTGCCTTCAAAGACCACTGTGAACCCTACACAACAGCAGGTACTTTTTTTTTTTTTTTCCAGTACTTCTAAAACTATGGGCAACATTTAGCATGCAGGCAAAATACTAAGCTTTTAATGAGAACTTGTAGCAAAATTCATCAGCTTGCTGGAAATACTATCATTGGTTTTGTCAAAATCTTTAATGAAAGTGAAGTGTCGTCTTATAAACACCTTCCCTGTCATAAATGACTGCTCTTCCAGATTTTTACTCTGCCTCTTGGTTGTTTCTGTCGAGGCCTGGACCTCTGTCATCTGAACACATGCTCTTCCTGCCAGAGGGTGCCTGTCATGGACACGCTTTGTCTCACTGTGTTAGCCACTCTCCTGAAGTTTTAAAGTGTTTATCTTACACAGCTGAAAGTCTCCTCCTGTTTCATGAGCTCTACATTGGAATGCAGTGGAAGAGACCCAGGGCCTGTGGCCACCCAGATTAGAGGTTTTTATAATAAGGTCCCTATATGGTTTTGTTAGAGACTTCGGCTCTGTCTCTGTCTGTCTCTGCTCCTTGTTTGGGAGGCTGGTGGGAGGAGAAGAGCTGAAGGGGCTATATAATCTCTGTGCTTTCAGATACACAGAGCACCATCCCAGGGCCGCTATCTGCAGCCAAGCACTGTCAGGGTAAGTGGCACTGAACCAACAGTGTGATTTACGGTTTTGTGGAGGACTTTTAATTAAGTTATGTCAGATGGAAGTGATTCAGGAGGATGTACTGTTGTACTGCAGTTTGCTTATGTGTTACTTAATAGAACTGTATTGATAAAATGCCTGTAGTACCTGCACTGAGTTGTCTTTATTTTATGGCGCTTCTGAAAGGGAAATCAACCTGATGATTTTGCTGATTCCACTAATGCTCCAGAAACTGTCTAAAGGCACACAGGCTGTGTGGTGGTACAGGTAGAATGATAGCTGTGTTTGAGTTTCAGTGAACCTGTGTCCCTGGGCTGTTAGTGTTGGACACGAGTTCCTGAGGGGGTGGTAAATTTGCTCACTGTATAGTAGGGTTTCTCAGCAGGTTTGCCTCACTGCTCTTAGCTTAGGGTGACACGAGTGTTTTGGAGAATTATGAGTGTAAAAAGGGCTGGAAGCATGCTAAAAGTATGTGTGTGTGTGTGTGTGTGTGTATGTATATATTTATCAGTATCTAAAAGGATGCAATGAGGATGCATGTGTATGTACATGTATACCCCTGTCTCCATGTATGTGAAACTAATGCTCTGCTAAATGCCAGATGTTTTAGTAAGGAACAGGTTACACACAGTGTTCCTTGTGAGGCTGGAGTTCTCTTAATAGCATGCTGTGGAGACTGGTGAAGGGATTGGTTATCTTTAGATGTAAAGCAGGTAGAAGTAAGAGGCTAGATACTGTGTTAATTGCTTGGGAGAGTATTTTGCTTTATTCCACAGTGCTGAGTGACATTTGCTGCTGCAGGGTTTTACTACTGCATGCCACAGCAATCCTGAGCTGTAACGCACTGCTTGGCAGCAGAGAATCCTGGCTGAATGATTCAGCTTTGATTTTTCAACTTTTTGTGCTTTATTACTAAATATGGTTTTCATTTAGAGTCCTCTGAGCTCAGAAATGTAGCCTTTCCTGCCCCCTTCTTTCCCCTCCCCCATGTGATTTTTGGCATCACATTCCCTGCGATTGGTTTGAGCAAACCCCCTGACCTCTAGCTCTGTTCCAAAAACAGCCGGTTGAAAAGCCTGCTTCCTAATTAGGAAATGGTTTGTCTAAACCACTCTGTTCATTCACGTTAGATAACAATTATGCCCCATTGAGTAAATGCTTCAATATAAAGAGCCTGTTTCCCCAAGAGTAAATTTAATAAATACAAAAAATGCAACCTACTTTTCTTTCTTGGGAACAATGATAAAGTATCTGGAACACGTCAAGTTGGGTTTTCCATGTCCTTTTCTTCTTCTACACCCGTGCAGCCTACAGAAGCAGCACTACAGCCATGTCTCATGGCTGGGACGGGATGGAGGATCTGAAGTGAAGGATGGGCAGAGGCTGCCCACACTGCTTGTTCCACTTGGGTACAGGCTGAGCGGCTTTGTACACACCCTTGCTCATCAGCCATGGCTTTCACCAACCCTGTTGCCACTTTGTCCTCCAGTTCCAATATCCTGTGGCAGAAGGTTTTAGGGACTGTGTGAGGAGACAGTTGGGTTGGTAGATGACAGCTGTCTCCTTTAGCTCTTAACATACTGCAATTTGTTGAACTCTGCATGGAAGCCCGGGATCCCAGGTAGTCAGGTGGTTCCCTACCACACAATAAATTGTGGGCAAATAGTTCTTCCGAGTGCTGGTATTCAGGGCTTGCTTCTATAACTGACTTTAATAAAAAACCCACAAAGCATTTTTATTACCCATGTTATCTTCCTGTTGTCTGAGGAGGAAAACAATTTCTGTTTTACTGAAACAGGGAGCCAGTATAAATTACTCTGTCACTCTAAATGCAAGTTTTTAGCTGGCTTGAAATTATGATAGAGCATATGCTATGGCCAGTTTTCAAAACACACGCTGTCCCTGACTTCATTTTAAAATTGGGATTTTTTTTTTGTCTGAGTAACTAAGGGGGGAGGGCTGATTTTTTTTTTTTTTTTTTTTTTTTTTTTTTTTTTCCTTCTATATTAGGAACCTCTATTCTGTTTTAAAAGGGAAAAATATAATCCTAGCAGGACATCTTCACCCAGTGGGTATGTGTCTTTATCACGGTATAATGTCTGCATCGTGTACCACTGGTACATGACTAGCAGGTGAAGTGCTAATTCTTTGGGAACTCCAAGACTGAATGGCGATGGCTAAAGTGCTCTTACCTCTGTTAGCTTTCCACATGCACTGGTTTCATCAAAATGATAGAAAAGCAGGGGATGTTGTGCGAAATCTGATGCAAAGGCATCTTTGTTTTTGCAGCTGTCAGTCCAGCAGTCTTTTTTATCTCCCACTCACCCCCCAGCAGTGGATTTCTCTGACCAAATTTAGATAAACGTTTGCTGTCCCAGAGATGTAATGATCCATCTGTCCATGCAGCAGGACTGGAATTCTCCTCTGGAATCCCTTGAATACTGTCTGGTGCATACAGTATTTCTGTGTGATGGTTCCTTTCATACAGTTCTCTGTCTTCAAGACTGGTTCTCTGAGTTTTTTTTTTTTTAATTTATTTTGATTTTTATTTTCCTAATTATTTTCCCGCTGTTTTTATAGGTCTGTTTCCTGTCTGGAGGTCCTGAGAACACTGACATAGAAGATGTGTGAGGAAGAGGACAGCACTGCCCTTGTTTGTGACAATGGGTCAGGGCTCTGCAAAGCCGGCTTTGCTGGGGATGATGCTCCGAGAGCAGTTTTCCCCTCCATCGTGGGTCGTCCCAGGCACCAGGTGATGAACTGCTTTAGTTATTCCACACTTGGCTTGTAGAAGGTTTTGCTGCCCCATCCCCAGCTCTCCACCCAGAGCCACCTTTTCCTGCGTCTGGTGCAAATAGAGCCCTGGGAGGTCAGTGTAACACAGTACTCCCAGGCAGAAGTCCAGCAGTGCAGCCACCTGAGTCAAAGCAATGTCTAGTCTTGTGAGAGAAATCCTTTTAATTTTTTTCACTTCCTTCTATGCTCTCTTCTTCCTGTTCCTTGAGTCTGGATCACCCAAAGAACTTGATGAGTAAAGATAGTCTAAAAGCAAACAAGCCCAATAGAGAAGCATCTGTAACTTCTGACTGCCATAAAAGCTGGTGATAGATGATGTATGGAGAGCTAAAGGAGGAAGGAGAAGGTTTCAGTCAGCTTCCTATCAGCCTTCCTGACTTTATTCATTTAGCTTTATAGGCACAAATGGGCACTCATCTAGGATTGAGTTTCTTTAGCTTCAGGTTTTACATTTTACATTTTACAAGTGTTTCCAAGACAGAACTGTTAGAGAAGCCAAGGTTTGGAGCATGCAATGACAAAGTTCAGATAGGAGTATTATGTAGTCAAAGCATCCTAGTATATACTGTTTGCTGGTTGTTGGTTCTTTTGACAGTATTTCTAATTTAATACATAGAGGAGTTTCCAGTTTCTGGTCCAAGGACCACTTCTACAGGATCCACAAAAATACCCGAAAGTGTAAACTGTACTCGTAGATTTATATTGTTTATATCTCTAATGGCAATATTTTAGTCTCAAAAAAAAAAAAAAAAAAAGTTAAAAATAATCATAATAAATTTAAGCTTTGGAAAATGTGAAGTGTGTATTGCTGCATCTTGGCCCTTAGATGGCACAATGTCACTTTCCGCTTTAACTCCACTTTATTATACTTTAACAGGCAGGTCATCCCTAAACAATGAACATTATAAATTGCCTATTGTTCTACTTCATCTTGATGAATTTAATATTGTACTTACTTTTTTATGTAATTTAACATGGTATAAAATTTGTACTTGTGTGCTCTTTGTTTTTACTGTACTGGAAACGTGAACTCCGGAGGTTTAAGTTAGCTAAACATTTCATTTTGGAAATTAGAGCAATGCGTAATTTTCCAATAATTAGTATTCTTAAAGTATTCTGTTACTAGTATCACTGACAACTGGATTTATATCAGCCAATGTTGTTATAAGAGGTGTTTGTGACACCTCTCCTTGAGGGAATAACTCCATTTGTGTTATTTTATAGGGTGTGATGGTTGGTATGGGTCAAAAAGACAGCTATGTAGGTGACGAGGCCCAAAGCAAAAGAGGAATCCTGACCTTGAAATACCCCATAGAGCATGGCATCATTACAAACTGGGACGACATGGAGAAGGTATTTCATCATTGAAATGATGTGTATCACTGGTAAAAAAACAAACAAACAAAAAAACCCACTTGAACCAAATGTTTACAGATTACTCAGTAAATTTTAGAGATGAAAGTGTCATGCTATCAAGTGTGATTTAATGAAAAGCTTGTTAACAGCGAGCTGGAATAAAGCCTATTTTGGCTCTGTATCTTCTACTGTAAGAATGTATTTATTTTCATTTACTAGTGTGTTCTTAGAAATCATATACCACTAGCAGTGATATATTTAACCTGAGGATTGTGTTTTTCTTTTTCAAGTTACTTTGTAATACCTATGAAGGCAATAAGAACAATTGCATGTGAAACATTACTTATCTGTCTCTGAAATGCTGTAAGCAGAATGCTGGAGCATTATACCTGTCTGAAAGTGATTCTGAGCTGCTAGTTGATGGTATTTCTTTCTCCTTTGCCTTCTTCCATTGCCCTCAGATCTGGCATCATTCTTTCTACAATGAACTCCGTGTTGCACCTGAAGAACACCCAACTCTGCTGACTGAAGCACCATTGAATCCCAAAGCCAATCGAGAGAAAATGACCCAGGTAATCTCACTCTGAAGCTATGGAATAATTCCAAGTTTGTGAATTCAGCAGGATGTGAAATTCATAATTTTAGTTAGTCATGTCAGCTTGACTTTCCAGTAGTGTGTATCTCTTAGTAATGGAAGATGGAAAGTGCAGTGTGACCACGTGTCAAATTTGTACATTATTGCGTTTACTTTAAAAAGTCAACATATCAGTTCTGAATATGAAAGCCTTGGTCTGTTCAAGCGTACATCACCTTCATCTTCTTATTAGTATTATTTTTTTTGTCTAGGCCTATCACAAAATGATCTTTAATATATGCATGTATCTGTATTCATACATCATAGATATAGACCAGATACAGATAAATGTCTTATAGGACAAATACATTTGGATTTAGATGTGTTTTCCTTCCTTGTTATTACCAACTATCAATAAATATGAAAATCTTGTCTTTTCCCTCTCTTTCAGCATATGGCTACAACTAAGCTAAGATCCCTACTGTTAAGCTGATTATCTTAATTTCATTTCAGATTATGTTTGAGACTTTCAACGTGCCAGCCATGTATGTAGCTATTCAAGCTGTTTTGTCCCTGTATGCTTCTGGACGTACCACAGGTAGGCCTCTGGGGATGGTGGCACAGGCATATGAAATAGAAAAGCATTTTGGTGTGCAGCTGAGAATGAATTGTGCATGTTGTCTCCTCAAAGGGATTGTGCTCGACTCTGGGGATGGTGTCACCCACAACGTGCCCATTTATGAAGGCTATGCTTTGCCGCACGCCATCATGCGTCTGGACCTGGCTGGCCGTGACCTGACAGACTACCTCATGAAAATCCTGACAGAACGTGGCTATTCCTTTGTGACCACTGGTAAGAACATGCTACTAAAATGAGGAGGGGAGCTATTTAATGTGCAATGCTTCTAGTGGACTTAAAAGGGATAGCAGTGGTTCCGCAGTTGATTAATAGCAAGAAAGAATCCAACAGGAAAGGGGAGGAAGACTGGCATTAGAGTAATAAATAGGGAGGGTGTTAGAGGATGAAAGGGAACCACCTGTTGATAGCTCTGGGCCCTTTCTGAGCACCATTCTAAACACAATCATCTCAACAGCGGAGCGTGAAATTGTCCGTGACATCAAGGAGAAGCTGTGTTACGTGGCCCTGGACTTTGAAAATGAGATGGCCACTGCTGCCTCTTCCTCCTCGCTGGAAAAAAGCTACGAACTTCCTGATGGTCAGGTGATCACCATTGGAAATGAACGCTTCCGCTGCCCGGAGACCCTCTTCCAGCCATCTTTCATTGGTAGGTTGAGTGATTGGCCTTGGTAAACTGCACATAAATATTAAGTCCCTGTTTTGGTTTGATTGTACACCTTGCTAGCACACTTAGATGTATACACAAGTTTGTCCTAGTGTCCATTATAAACTAATCTTTAAAACAGCACTATTAATACAGTGGGAGGAACTTTATGTCAAACAGTAAAGCAAAATACTCTCCCAAAATAAACCTTGAATGTTTATTCCTGGCTTCGGGCCCACACCATTTTGTATGTTATGGAGTTGGCTACTACAAAAAATATGGCTGCAGAGACATTTTTCTAAATAGTGTGAGGGTTGTAGTTTGAATGTGCTTGCAGGGAGGGGTTAAAAAACAAAACAAAACAAAAACCACTACTTTTATTCTTCCAAAAGACTACTCCAAATCCTGAATCCATGGTTCTGTACATTTGCAGAGCAAATCAATAGCTATGAAGGCAGGCTTGCAGCAAGGTCATGTAAAAATCATGTGTAGCTTCTGCTAATTGGTAAATTTCAGCTTAGAAACTGATACAGTAGCTGCATACTTAGAGGTATTAGGGCATATTTTGACTGTTCTGTCTCTGAGCTGTCTCAGTTTAAGAAAGGAAAAAAAAAAAAACAACAAATGATTCCAGGACCATATAAGGAATTCTTTGGACTTATGAGATTTCTGCAAAAGCCTAGTGGAGGCTGTACACCCACACCCCTGGCTTTCTTTTTAAGGAGGCATTGTGTGTGTAAGCAGGGGGAGGGCTGTACCCTCAAGGAACTCCAATAATTTAAGCAGCTGCAGAAAGACTTTCCAGTTTCTGTAGCTCTGAAGACTGGTATCTTCCAAAGAGACACTGCAGTTCATGTTGTCCGTTCTTTATTAACAATTTAAAGTCCCTGTAAGGAGTTGCTTCCTCAGTGTTCTGATGTAACTTCCCTAGGCATGGAGTCTGCTGGCATTCATGAAACCACTTACAACAGCATCATGAAGTGTGACATAGACATCAGAAAGGATCTTTATGCCAACAATGTGCTGTCTGGAGGCACTACCATGTACCCAGGCATTGCAGACAGGATGCAAAAAGAAATAACTGCTCTGGCTCCCAGCACCATGAAGATCAAGGTATGGCACAATTACTTGTAGACTACTTTAGCTGGCATGTGCAACATCCTCAAAAATCTAATGAAAAACAGTAACACTTCACAAAATTCTTTTTCAATCAAGTCTGTATGTTATAGTAAATAATAATTGCTTGGTAACTATAAGAATCACCCTGGTTGCTGGAAGATAATCTCTCCTCTGACTTTCTTTCTCATGCTATGTTCTGCAAACTGCCCTAACAGCATAAATTATAATTTTTCCTGGGGCTGTATCAAGCTTCTTCAGCCCTTTTTGGTTAAGGGAAAGGGGAACGAAGGAGAAATACTGGCTCTGCCCTCAGCCTACAATTCAGTAAAGAAAGAGATTCTCACCAGCCAATCTTTTCTCTGCTGCTTTGAATCTTCCCCCTTTCTTGCTTTACAAACATTTTGTCAGCTATACCAGTAAGGGTGTTCTATAAGTCGCTCATTCTTCCAAACCCTCTTTGGCTACCATTGTGTGTTTTGTCTCATATATTATATGAAAACTGTTTTTCCCCTTTTCTCATTTGCAGTCATGAATACACTCTCTTACTGGTCAAACTGACTCAGTTGTAAAAATTGAGGACTTAGGTTCAGATTTCAATAACAACTTTTTAACTTTATGACTTGCTGCAATGGCTGACTGGGATGGCAAGGGATGACACTAATGTGTACAAATACACTGTTTTCATTAATATCAAATATCACTGCTTTAATACTTCTGTATAACAAATTCACAGTTGAAAGTTGTGTTTAATGTTTTTATTTCTTAAACAGATCATTGCTCCTCCTGAACGTAAGTACTCAGTCTGGATTGGAGGCTCTATTCTTGCCTCCCTCTCTACCTTCCAGCAGATGTGGATCAGCAAACAGGAATATGATGAAGCTGGCCCATCCATTGTTCACCGCAAGTGCTTTTAAATTGCTTTATCTTTATATGTCTTTTTAGTGTATTACTGTGAATGTATTCAGGAAAATACATTCTTATAATTTCATTCCATAAATCCTTCATCATGACTCATTAATTGGATACTATGTATTTTTTGGAATAAATTTTAAATATGCAAATGAGATTGCTGCTCCTATTTTAAAAAGACATTTCTGGAGGTACCATTACAGCTGGTGTGAAGCTCCATCTTGTGGCGTAAATTTGTTACCACGCTATACCGGGCTTAATAGAAAAAGTAGCAAATACAATGGTATTTGCTCAATGGTATCAGAGCTAGAAAATGCTGGACTATCAGGCAGCATGTTGTTTATGTTTAGCTGCATTTTAGTCTGCAAGCAGAGCTAGTCTTGATTTTTGAAGCTCTGGGCAGCACTAAAGAAGCATAGTGTCTGTTCGATACCAGGATGTGCATGCGCATTCTGCTCTGCATCTGCTCTATCCAGAAGTATTATCTGTCTACATCATTTAATTCACAGCTGTCATGCTAGAAGTAGTTCTCTCATTGTATGGCCCAGAGGTACAATGCTTTATACAGCAATTCCAGGTGATTTCTTTAAAGAAACAAAACCTGTTCTTTTAGAGCATACCTAAGTTCTGATATTAGATTGAACACGTGACTTTTCTATTACATGTCCTCAGGATGAGTGTAGCCTATTTTTGTTGTTTGGATTTCTAGCAAGGTCTAAAGGGTAATTAAGCTGGCTTAATACACTTGCTCTTCAGAACTTTTTTTTTTTTTTGCAGGGGTGGGGTGGGATACATAAGGGAATATAATGTAATCAGAGCAGATTAAAATGTTTTTAGAATTTTTTCTTTTTCTGTGACTTTTCTGATTCCACTTATGTCTTAAATACATTGAAATTGATATTAAAATAGAAGTATATGCATAGAAGTTGAAGCCAGTACTACTACTGTCTTACAAGTATATATATATATATATGTATGAATAAAGTAATCACAAGGCAGACCTGGAAAAGGTCAGTTCTAAGGAACTTGCTGCACTCTGTATTCATTAGAGTTCAGGATAAAGGATGCTATTTATTTTTGTTACCTCTTTTCCTGTCTTAAACTCAATAGTTTATTTACCTCACTTACCTGTTGCTCCTTATCTTCAAGCTGTAAACTCTGCAATAGCACCTGTTATTTACTGTGACTGCGTAACTGTTGGGTTTCAGATCTTGTCCATCTTCTGTTAGCACGTTCCAAACGTTTTTGTACTAACCTTATTATTTAAAGTATAGGCCATCTAGGTTCTTGGAGCAGATATTAAATAAACTCTTGTAAGAGCAAACATTTTTGTACGATTCTTCCTTCTAACTCTAGACAGATCTTTTAATCTAGCTCTAGACAGATCCAGGGAATCCCTTGCAGGATCAGAACTTGATTTCAAATGGGAGTTTCTGCTAGAGGGTTGCTGGAGAAAACACAGTTTTCCACGGGACTCCAAAACCTCTCTGCTATTCCAGGATGTTATGAGGGTCAGCACTCAGGTAAAGGACTTGTGTTTTCTGTTTAATGGCTTAGTCGAAACACGAGCTATATAAGGATGAAAACAAAAATCGCTGAACCAATGTGTTTGTCTCTACCACATATAATGTAAATTCACTGAAGCAGTGAATAGATTTAAGTAGCTGAAAGTCTTAAAAAGCTGTTAAAAAAAACTATAGTTCTCAGAGAGCAATTACTGCTAACAAATGACAAAGGAAGCATTACTTATTTCAACTTCATTTCTGTTATTTGAAGTTTGTTTTATTGTTGGTTTTAGCGAGATGATGCTTTTACAGATTCAGGGGTAATGCCACTGAACTCCATCTTGACAGAGCAACAAAATAACTTCAAAACAGGCTAAAGCAATAAATATCAAACCATTCAATCTAAAATGTATAAATATAAAAGTCATTTCTGAAAATGTAGGAAAAACAGGAAGCCATTTTTCTCTTTTGACCATTTTTTTTAGCAACTTGTTATTGTCCATCTGTATCACCTCAGATCCAGCACAATTATCTTTATGTCTTTTCCAACCACATGGGTACATGGCTGCAGAAGAAATCAATGCATTACTCACAAATAAGTTTCAGTAAAATTGCGTATTTTAGACAATAGTGTCTTTTTAATTTTCTGAGCCTGCTTAATGTGCTATATATTCAACTTGGACTATACCTATCACTGTGCCTGTTTACAGGCAAACCTTACCTTCGCAGGTGTAGACTGCTGAATAAAGCAAGGACTACAACATGGAAACAGAAAATTTCTACAGAGGATATAGTTTAGTGCTTGGCTTCTGAAGCAGATTATAGTTCAGTGCTATGCTTTACGTATCACAGCATGGGATATCTGAAAGGGAGAGAGAAGGAGCTGTGTGTTGCATTAGATCAGGTGCATGGAGGGCAACAGCAAGGGAAGCGTAAACTCTGTTCTCTTTCTGCAGTAGCTTCAGCTATCTGCCCACTTTTTTTTTTTTAAGCATTTAGGACTAGCTTGTGTCTTTAGCCACAGCCTTCTCTAAGTAACAGCATGTGTTGAATCTGTGGAGAAGAACTTTTTTAAAAAACCTGACAGATGCATGTTAGATTTGTTCTAGTCAGGTTTCAGGAAGCTTCCTATATTAACACACCCCTGATATTTTTCTTCCAGGAAAAACTTCTGTGATCTTGCTGTTCTTACTGGCAGATAAATATGTTTTGGGGATTGTACTTGCAAGGATATTTGTTTGATATGTGATACCAGCAATGCATCTACTGTTTATAAATGTGCTCAAGTGGCCAGTAACTTAATTCGTAAACTAAGTCAGTAAAGGACTACCCAAATGAGCTTATCTGGAACAAAAGCATAAATATTTTTTCTGACTTGGACTAGCTTCTCAATACCCCTAGGGTCAATGATGTAAGAACAAAGCAAAACAAATAATTTAAACTCTCCTTGAGTAGTACTGATATTCTGGAAGTTCTAAAAAAATACTTCTTTTTGGTAAAGTCATCTTTTAATATTACTTGCTCTTAATCATTTTACTTTGAGTTAGAGTTATGAGTAGTTGTCTATTTTAACAGAGTCTCATTAAAAAAAAATCTTAATTATTCAAAGATAAATACGGTTTTCTTCCAGATAGCAGTGGCATTTCTGATAATTCTGAATGACTATACAGTTCAGTCATTCATATAGTATATCATGCTATTACAACATTAAAAGATGTGGTAGTTACTGAGAAAAGCTTATTGAGAAACTGCAAGAAAATGGGAAATGAAGGAAATAGATTTAATCTACTCATAACTGCACTTTTTAGCAGCTGGGATGTGCTGTCTGGTGGGACAACACAATTGTTTTTGTTTAAAAACTGAAGCACTCAGGAACAACTCCTACTTGAATCTGTGGCTTTTGCTTCTTCTGAAAACAACTGATAGCAACTACCTCTGGCTGTCCACTATCTCAATGGCAGTGTGTAACAAAAGTCATCTCAGGGCTGCTACTAACTGCTTGAACAGATTCCTGATGTCTGCCTTTGTCAGAGAAGTATGCATAAGGAGTTATTAAGATGGGGGAAAGTAGAAGGAAACCTAATCTGAAGCAGCTACAATTTCTGCTTGCATTAGAACCACGGGCAAGAATTTGAATAGTCAAAACCATACCAGATTATATAGATTATATACTTACATTAAATAACCTAGGATCCTTTGTATGTGGATGGAATCCCTTCTTTTTACAGGCAGAAACTTCAAGCATGCCAGCATTAGTAAGTCTGAAGATGCCAGTGCTGGAAAGCAAAAGGTGGAACTACTGTTATTTATTGTCCCCATAATACAACTGCACATATTCACATACTTAGCTAAACAGAAGGACAATGTGAGGGTACTCAATAACCTCTGATATACAGGAGCTAAGGTTGGGTTGAACCTTATAGGAGTTACCTTGCAGCGAAGGGAGACGCGGTGAGGAAATGGGGGGAGAAGACACAATACTTGGTGCTATTCCTATTAGGCAGTTTAGCCCACTAAGGCAGGAGGTAAATTCATATAGGAACAGCCACAGAGCATCCATGTCTGCTCTGGATTGCATTTCACTCACTGAACTCTAGAGGGGCAACACAAAAAGAACAGCCTTGAAGCTCTCTAAGTAGCTACTGGGAGTATACATCCTCCCCAATCACTCTTCTAGGTAGCTTTAGGTAATCAAGTAATACAAAGCACTACAAAAAAACCACTGCTGAATATATATGATCTAACACTCTACTTTGAGTACAGAATAAGTAGTTTAAAAACAAACAAACAAAAACAAACCACACATCTATAAAAAAAAAACACTGCCTCTACAGATCGACTCAAAGGCCTGGCTTTGGAGGGATATTGAATCTATATTCAGGTAAGAAGTCTCCATGAAATCAACATTATTTTGTCAGATGAAAAAGATTTGCAAACTGAGAAGACAAAGCAAGAAGCATTTATTGCATTATTTATTTACATATGCTTGGGATCTTGCTTAGACCAACGAAAGCAGCATACTGGTAAGCAAGGACCTCTTTTGCCACCTGTAGATGATGCTTTGGCACAGAGTACTGCTGTGCATACCACATATGCGAACAGAATCCTACCTCAAAGTGTGCCAATATGCTGTAACTGTTTCTCAACAAAATGCTCCATAGATACTCATCTACAGCACAGTCACAGCTGGCAACAAAATCTGACCAGAGTCTAGTCCTGTTAGCAGCATTTTTGCTGCATTTAGGGTGCAGTAGAAGCAGCTTGACACTTCTAGTTCCAAAAAAGAGATACACCAAAATCTAAGAAATAATCTAGTGAGAATGTATCAAAGTGTAGCCCAATATGTAGTACTGAATTATAAAGTATTATATTATATATTATACATCATATCATATAATATATATGTATAATAAACAATGTATATAGTACAAACATATATGATTATATATAAAATATATAGTTATATATATAATTTATTATTGTATAATATATATATATATAAATGTATATAATACTTATAAAGCATTACTGCTGATTGCTGTCTATTTGATTTACCATGGCCACACCTAAACCTATGCTTATTTTAACAAAAAAGTAATCACCTAAAAACTGCAGGACAACATCTGATCAATTAATGTTACAGACAGCAGTAGCAGACGAGCAAAAGCTATGAAAGCAGTTTACAAGGCCAGAGATTTCGGAAGGTATGCAAACGCTGCTGCTCAAAGTCTCAAAGCCTAATGGTCATGCACTTATCACTCAAGCTTTATTTACAGCTCTGCTACCTGAATGGCCCATATGGGAAGTTGGCCAACTATAATAGGAGTCATCTATGTGGGCAGAAGACCAGAAAGGCAGGCTGAAGACAGGTACAAACTAAACAACGGAGTTAGCCACAGAGACTTGAAATGTCAAGCACACCAAAGAATAATCACTGAGTTGTCAAAGTTGGAAGGAACCTCTGATAATTTGGTCAAAATTCTCTGCTCAAGTAGAATCACCTTGAGCAGGTTGCCAAGGACCTTATTCCACTCAATTTTATCTCCAAGGATGGAGACTTAACAATGTTTCTGTATAGCCTATTACATTGTAAATCTTCACATCATTTGTTATACAGTTCCAGGTTTTTCCACATACTTACTGCTTGCATTTTATGAAATATGAAAATAGGACCTTAATAGGGAAAGTGTCCTTTATCTTTCTACTCCCAAAACTGCAATTTTCATATCATCCTACAAATTTCTAGTCACAGAAATGTCTTACCCTTCCATTTCCTTCATCAGACAGAATGACAAGAGCTCTGTGGTAAGCCACAGGCAATGAAGTCTACAGTAAAACAGCTCCTGTTATTACTACTTGGTTAAGTAGAGTATAAAAATAAATCAAAGTTTAAAACCTGGAGCTACAAACAGGGGAGGAGAGAGAGAAGCCAGAAACAATACCGTGCATACAGACTGACTGGAATGCAAGTCTAAACAGACTAAAGAAAAACTCATGATATGCCCATTCCTGTCCTTCACCCCAGTTGACATGTGCTGTTTGCATTTGATCACATTTTAAGATAAGGAGTGGGGGAATATATCTACATATTACTTACAAAAATCAGAACTCACTCGTTATGTTTTGGTGAACAAACAATCGCAATGGCCTCTGGTAACATTAGCTGGTAAGAGCAATGCGTATGAAGATCAACGCTGGATAAGAATGCAGTTTGTGTTGGATGTGTCTACAAAAAGGAAGGGAAAACTCAACATCATGAAATACTCCTTATAAGTCAAGCTCAACATGCATTCAAGAAGAAACAATAATTTTTAACTCATAAATGCATCAGTACTTTCCCCAGATTGGTTTCTTAATTTACGATTAACCCAGATTCTACATTGCTAGAGTAGTTTTTCATTATAAAGTTCATGGGAACACATTCATGCCCAGATGTACAAGCAGTTTTCTCATCATGGTGGGGAAAAAAAAGTAGAATGAAAAAGCACAGGACAAAAGGGAAATTACTTGATTGTTCAAAATCTCTAAGAGTGAAATCACACTCCACGTAATTAATACAGAATTTAAGCAACACAGTACCCCCAAAACTTTGAAAGGATTTTGAATACAATGGAAAAGAAGTGGCATTAGAATGTAATAAAATACCCACAAACAGACATAAACAAAAGTTGCAATAGCAAAAGCAGGCTCTATTGTGTAAACAGGATGCCTCAACTTCATAGATTAAGAGATTCTCATTATCTGCGGAGAACATTAAAGTTCATTTACATCACTATGACTAGAATTAGGTGAGCAAATTCATTTGTATTATGCCAGTTATTTCTTTATTTTTTTACAGAGTTGTTTACATATAGTATGCAGAGCTGATGCAGAAAGCCAGAATCTGTGAGACATACATACATGGATCCAGCCCAAAGTGAGGAGATCATACTGATCCTGAATACCAAATAATTCTTCCACATTCTCCATGTCACAGTAGTCTGGTCCTGCAGATTGCTTTGGCACTATTACATGGGTAATAGTAAATTCATTGTGTGTCTGTAAAACAAATGTTGAGATAACTTAGAGTGAAACAATTGAACTACTGAATAAATGCTGAATGAGAATCTGAAGCAGGTCCGTCTTTCAGCTAAACCAAAGTGGTGTATCTGCAGTGACTGCCACACCACTACCTGACCTAGTACACCTGAAAACATGCACTAGCATGTTATCATGGAAACATACAGGGTATTATGAATAACAGCATAAGATTGTTGTATTGAAATGGTCACAGAAACCACTGTGAAAAAGATGTCATTTAAAAAAAATAAAAACATCGGAATGAAAAGAGGTTTGAGAATTATTATTTTCTGTGCACCTTGGAACATCACTACTCTTGCTATTCTTTCCCTTTACGTGACTTAAATACAACTGGACATCATCTTCAAAATTCTTTGTATGTCAGCATTAGTCAAGACATCTTCCCCTGCTCTGAAAGGACACTGCTATCTAGGTCAAGGGAAAAATAAAACAGGAAAAAAAAAAATGAAAATCAGATGTTCTACAGGTTGATAGGGGTGGTGGTTTCTTTTCTGTTCTGTTGCTGTTATGAATTTGATGACCCCAGTAGATTCTAACAGTCTTTATATTCCATTGTCCTGTAACTAAACCTCACTTAGCTTAGATGAATGCTAAGAAAGTACTTGAAAAAGCCTGTATTGTACAGTATACTGAAAAAAAATAAAATTTATGACAACAGCAGGGTTCTTTGATCAAGTATTCCCCCAATAAGGCAAGCTGCAGGCCTCACTGGTGAAGTGACCACTCAGGTTATACTATGATGTTAGTTACATTAAAGACTAATTGTTTAAATCTTCTTTTGCTCTGAAGTCAGCATATTACAGGAAAATATTACACTACCAAAAATGTCTTCCCCATATGAATTTGAAGGTTGAACTGTACCAGTTTTCCACAGAGAATTCCACATGTCTCTATTCCTCTTAATGTATTTGCCTCTGCTAGCAGCAGAAATTTGTGACAGAGATCCCTGGGTAAAATTACACCTCTGAGTGCTTCAGCCAATTGAGCTAACAAACAAACAAAACCAAAAAGAGAGAGACAGAGAGAGAGAGAGAAATAAAAAGGCATATGTAGCTTATACAGTGAAGTTCCTTAAAATAAGGCAATATACACAGTTACAGGAAATTACTAAAGATTAAGGAATTATCACATCACACATTTCTAATGAGACTACATCTACAGTGCAAGCACGTCATGCCAAAGTGAGGTATAACCTAGCTAGCATGCATCTAAGGTGACAGTGAGTTGATCCCATTTAACAGGCCAGGGTTTTTCAAAAAGCCTCTCTGACTGAGACCCCTGCAGGTTCTGCTTCTGTTCCCTTGAAGCCCCTGACAATATTCAGACCATAGGAACACTGAGGTTCCATCTCCATTTACTGGCACTCAGATGGAAAGTGTGATTTTTTTTTCTCTTAAAACAAGGAAAATATATAGAACTGTTGTGTGTACATTAACCTATTCATGCTTATTTCGCTACAGACACACTCAAAGGGAATAAATCATAGAATCATTTAGGTTGGAAAAGACCTTTAAGATCATCAAGTCCAACCATCATCATATGCATATACAATGTGTGGACTGCTATAAGCAGCAGAGCAGCAGACAAAGAGTACAAAATCTGTGCACTTACTCTGAACAGAACTTAAAGCAGCTGCTGGCTTTAGGGCCCGGTTTACTGGAGGTGAATGTCCAGTTGAGCCACTCTTCTCATTTTTTTCAAGCAATGTGGTAGATAAGGAACTGTTCTCAGGTACGGAAATACAAGATAGCATACTTCCATCTATCTGTTCAGACATAACCATGCTGTCTTTAATTTTCTGATCCCGAGCTAGTTCTTGCTTCTTAAGTTGATCCTCAAAGAATTGAAACTGTTCTGATTCAAGCTGCTGTTGCCGCATGTGTGCAATTCGTTTCTTCTCTGCCTCTATTAGCCTCTGCTGTTCTAGTTTCTTCAGAAATTCAGTTTTACATTTGTTCTGAAACATATGCAAAACAGTTACATTCTCAGAATTTTATATATATATATAAACTACAAAAATGAGGAAAGAAGCAATCCAATTGTTCAACAAAACCATCAAACCCTGTCATTAACATTTAAAAGCCTTTCGAAACCTGTTGGCTGAAGTGCCAAATACAGCTCTGGCCCCCCAGAGCAGCAAGATATGGAACGGAACACCACAAGCAAGGAAGCTTCCAACACAAAGCTTGCAGCATGCCTACCTATGATGCTCTGTGTTTTATTCAGTAGTGAGAGCACTTGCCTTATTAAGCCACTGCAATATAGGCAGTGAAGGAGTTTTCAGAACAGTGGTGGTAAAGAGATGAGAAGTCCTTACAACTTGCAGTGCAGCAAGAGATCCACATGCACATTGCTTTTCTGGGTAGATTTCATAATCCTTGTTATTACCTGGTTTATTGCTTGTTGTTTCTGTTTGGATATGTCAATTTTCTCCTGCTTCTTTCTTTCCTTAGCCTTCCCTGGATTGGTCCTTGTACTGACAGGGGCATATCTCAGCTCTCTGTGTGTGCCCTCCCCAGTTTCAGACACATTTAATGCCATCTCTGCCACCTGTCTGGGCTCTGCCCCCAGTCCCCGGGCCAACTGCTCTTCCAGATAGGTAAGCTTCAGGTTTCAGCAGTTTTTCCTACCCCCATTACAGGGAGAGCACCAAGCTTCTTTAAAAGCAAATAAGAAAACTGGAACAAAGTCATTTCTTATCATCCAAAATATAGTGGGAAAGTAAGCCTCAAACAAATCAGTGACAGGATTTTTATTTTTTTTTTTTTGGTGTGGTGGTTTCCTTTTTTTTTTCCCCCTCTCCATAATTCCCTAGGTACATTTCATGGGAAGGAAAGAAAAGATATTTTTTCCCCAGACACTCTTTTCCAACACAAGTTTTTAAAACTGCAGATCCTGTCTTCATTGACTTCATTACAAATATGCAGGTATTTACTGTTACTTAAAGACTCAAACGGGATAAATTGAAATGAACAAATTCAGGGTCAACAGGTGTTTTCTATATACTTACAAAAATCTCTGAAAAATACCGTCTATAAAATTGAACCAGAGTGTACTGAAGACCTATTCTGATTTTCTTTGACTATCAATATGTAAATATGACAGAACATGTATTTCCAAGCTCACATGTGCATTACTTATTTTCAAATGACCAACTGATCACATTCTGAGACATGAAAAGTCATTCTAAGCAGTCTGCTGGGTGACTATGGTCTTGCAGAACTGCTATTTTACTGCTTTATTTTTAAGAATTCTTATACAATAGAAAAATATTCATACAACAACGATTTCATAACCACATGGAACTTACTTTGTTTTGCATGTATTCTTGATACTCTAAGTTATATTTCTTTAAAAGATCTCTCTTCAGTTCATCTGTCCGTGGAAATGCAACCTCCTTCAGTTTCTTTAGGTGGGGTGGGATGGGGTAGGGTAGAAAGACAGGTAAGTTAACTTTTTACTTCATAAAAGGACCACCTGAAAACCACATTCATCTGTAATATGGATTTAAAAATAAAAAATAATAAAGAAATACTGCTCTTCTCCCAGGAAAGAAAAGAAGAAATACACAATAAATCATCATCTTATTAAGCTTAGTACATTGATTTTAAATAATGCCATATTAGTTTCTATCAGTGAAAGGAGCTACCTATAACAAGACTACTTGCTATCTTAGGAAAAGATCATTTTTTCTAGTGATCTGTTATCTCTGTCTTGTTTAACAGGTGTGTGATAACCAACGTTTTTGATGTAGATGTGTTTTATAAAAAAAACTAGGGCCAACTACTATTTCAGAAATATACTTGTGTTTCCAACAATTTACTGACTTATTCAGAGACCATTCTTGTTCTCCTTATAGAATGATAAATTAACTTTCAGTAATGATCAAGTGGTTAAACCAAAATAAAACATAAATGACTTGACAAAGTTATCAGAATTTCAAACTGCATTGGCTGCCTTGGACTACGTTTGCACTGGGAGAAAAGGAATGATAGGAAAGAACAGAAATAGAGGAAAGATTTCTTGAAGTTCAGGAAACAGTAACCCTACCTTAATAATAACTTGTTTCTCTGGTACTGCACATTGGTGATAGTCTCGGTGACTGGGCAGTTTTTCCACAAACAAGCTAGAAAATTAAACAGCATGTTTGTCTTAGTAACCAGAGGAATAACTACATTAGCTTTTACTTTGGCAGAGAAATCAGTTTCCCAAGTTATAACTGTTAGACACCGAATTCCACATGACTTCAAGCTGGTTTCTATACGTTCATTTGTTTAAATTACCACTTAATCTCTTGTACGGACTTGTATGGACACAGAGGATAATGACAGGAGCTTATTTTCTACACCTGAATATACTGTGTTTCTCTTTAGTAGTGGGCTTGATTAAAACAGGATTAACTAGAACTCAGCACTTGAAAAAAAAAACCCACCATGGCCAGTATTACTAAATCTTATTTCTGCTGTCTTAATCTGTCTCCTTAGCTGAAATGCTGAACCTTAAATAAAGCACTGACTATCATTAAAGTAGTTATTTTTACCAGACTAAGCTGCACAGCTAACTGCAGTATTATTAACCCATCCAGACATCTAAATTATCACAGAATTGTCAATGCTTAGCTGCAGAAAAGTTTAGGATTCTCAGCTGCTAATAATTTTTTCAGCAATTTATGCAATGTTCACCTCCAGACCCTCTTTATAGAGATACATACATTTAAAATAAAGTCGAATAAGAAAGATTTGGCTTAGTTTTCAGAGTATAATAAAAATTAGGGGAGGGAAGGAGGTTTCTTATTGTTAAAAAAAAAATAATTTAAGATATGCATACTTTTAGAAGTATCAAAACAAACTAATCAATCCTACAGCAAAGCTAGCTAGACAAAAAGTTTAAATCTGCTATCAATATATTTTTCAAAAAAAATATGCTTAAACAGCTTGGGGATGAAAACTAAAAAGAAAGGCAAAAATCTTTTTCTTTTTTTTTTTAAATAGCACTGTGCAATATTATCATCTATGTCCTGATTCTCATACAGCTTACATTAGAGTAAACTTCAGCCTTTGTACATGAGGTTAATTCATGCCTGCCAGTTAAGAGACAGATAAGAATATTACCCAAACAGCTGAGATGAAATTGTAAGAAAGATGGGTTAGAGTAAAGATCTCTAAAGAGCACAGCTATTCTGCAAGAAAACAGTAAACATTGTTCTCCTGATCTAAAGGGTTGCCCCATTATCACTGCAAATCTTCGTTTTAATTTACTCAGAACTGTAAGCTCTAATGACCACAAACTGTTTCTTACGTTATGAACTTGTTATAAAAAACAAAAGCATTCTCCAGGTTTCCCTCCTCCATATATATTGATGCCATTCGCTCCATCTCTACTCCAGATCTAAAGTAACGACGTGGAGTGATGTCTTCATTGATTGTGATATTGCTGCCAAGTTTGCTTAAGGCACGTACTCTCTCTTCTGGGGTCACAGAGATGTCTGTATGGTCAGGAATAGCTACTAGCTTTTTCTGAAAAAGAACAGAGATTAGCAAGGAGAGCCAGATACTACAATTCTCTTTCAGTAAATGATGTCATTCAAGAAACTCAAGGGAAATCTTCAGCTTCTCAAAATAGGTATCAGTTTTCTCACTACTAGCAACAGTTAAAATATTTTAATGTTTCTCAATTGCAATAAAAGTAAAAAATTATCTTATCCCTCTCCCCAAATCTTCTCCCTCTCAATGCATATACATACGTATAAAAGGAAAAAAAACACAACAGTAAACCTCAGCAGAAGTGATCAAAAATAACAGTGCGTCCTCTTCAGAATCCCCCAAATATGAAATTCGGTAAGGTTCTACTTTAAGTTACTAAAATAATCTGCATGACTAAGCCAACTACTGTTATATGTTATATTGGATATGAATTCTGGGTACAGGTCACCTAACAAAAAGCAGTATGTTTTCCTGGTTAATCAACAGTTAATTTTACAGTTTCAGAGGAAGCAGAGTCGAAGAACCTAAAAGTGATTCTACCGAAGAAGAAGCAGAGTTGCTTATTGTAATCATTACCTTCCTGTTAAGTGGTTAAATTAAGTGGCTACTGCAAGTTGTTTTGCCTTATGTTGTTGTAAAGGTTTACTTTTTCTATTCAAAACATTTACTTCAACTTCTTATAACCACGATCACTGAAACAAGCTAAATCCCCATAAGCCACACACATGAAAATAAAATTCCAATGAAACCAAGCAGAACATGTGAGGAACTGGCAGAATTCGAGAAAACAGCCTTTCAGCTGCCAGCAGCACTGCTAAACAGGTCTTAAATTGTTGCTTATTTGAAAGAGGGTGCTAAGCCATTAAAGCATTTTTCGTAATACGTACCAAGGAACTAATACTGAATGGTTGTTCCATGTTGTTCTCTGTCTGTAAACCAAGATCGCTCTTTTTCTCAGAAGTCTCCATCTTACTGTGAAGGACAGGATGACTGAAGCATCAATCAGTTCAATATTTGCAGCAGGCTGCCTCAGAGTCTATTAGTCCAAGGGAAACTTAACAGCAATATGCTGATTGTGGTTGGGTGCTAGAAGAAATAGGACAAGTCATTCAGATTAAAAATACATTCAAATGTCACATCAGTCTGCATGCCTGCACCCACTCATCACTTCAGTATCACAATACTTACATACTTAATAACAATCTAGAATTTAGGAGGCATCTAGAATTTAAGGTAGGAATGCATGAGGCCTTGCAGGACACTTGTGCGCTAGTTGACCTAACATTATTACAGCGGATTCAAATGCAACATAGCAAATTATTTCTACAATTTTAACAGTAACTTGAAAAAAAAAACAACAAACAACAACACAACCAAGAAGCACAAACACACAAGCAAGCCAACTTTCAAGCATTAAGTGAAAAAAACTTCAAAGGCTAAGCACAAAATCTGCTTCCTTAAGCATATGTTTTGACAAACATATTTATAAACAGCATCAATCTAGCACCTTTTTTCCTACTAAGCCTATAATTATAAATAAAACTTAGCACATAAACTCATACCAGTAATATAACATACAGAAAATATTTCAAGCACTATGTGCTCCACCTGTACAACTTGCTGACTTCAACACCACTCAAAACACAATGAAATATGACAAGTTGACTGATAGTAGTCACTCCTTGCACAGCTCTGAACAAGTAAAGACAAATATTTAGACACGGCGTGGTCATCATAAAAAAAAAGGGAAATTAGTTATTTAAATTACACTAGAAATATGAAAATGAAGCTGCTAATGTGGCCTTTCACTTTTGAGCTCTCAGTCCAAACAGATCTGATTCCAAATGTCAAAGACACTTCATATATTGCAATACATATGCTTTGTGCTTTCACAGAAGCATAAACAGAGGGTTCAGCGAAGATACTTTCTCGGCACACCCTTCTCTAAGAGCTATTCTGGGTTAGAGGAGAACAATCCTAACACATTTTAGCTGGCTCCTAAAGTATTGATTTCTGTATTTGGGTCTTCATTTTTCTCAAAACTAACAACATCTATCTATTAGGTCAGCCTTTACTTTTAATCTTTAGTGTTAATGTTATAACCAAATGTTAGAGGAGACCTTACATTCACTTAAGCAAGATGCTTTCTTTAAAATAATCAGAATCATCCTGTTTCTTTGGAATGGTACACTTACTGAATCAACCTTACCCTGTTTTTATGTATGACCTAATCTCAAGTAATATATTCTTGTTTGACTTTACAACTCTGCTTTGCATTTTCAAGATTTTTATTCTCTTCATCTGGTATCTCACAGACCTGTGAATGCAATTTCAAGGCCAGCTTCTTTCAATTCAAGGCATTCAAAACACTTGCATGATTTGTGATACCCTTTTGGGAAGAAAAAAATAGAGCTTGGCTTATGCACTCAAAATATCAACATTAGCTGAGGTGGTAGCACTGATGGAAAAAGTTCTCTAAACAATTTCATTTTATAAAGATGGAGCTCTGGTGTAAACGATTAGCTTGGCAGGAGAGTCCTACTCATTGCCAATTCACAGGCTGCAGAAAGATCTCATGGGACCATGATAATGAAATATTTTTGCTTTAGTATATACCAAAGCTATGTTTATAGTGCCTTGTGGCTAGTTCCACTAGAGAGCCTTCTTAGTTGGAAAATGGTAGCCATGGTAGGCTGTGAAAGGAGAGGACTACAAGCCAGGTCAGCACGGAGCTCACATTAGTTTTCTATCCCTGTAGCTCGGATGCTCAGAACAAATCTTCAGTAAGAGACTGCATTCATATGTTCTGTGTGGCTTAGGAACATTAATAAAACAAACAAACAAGGAAAAGCACTCTCAGAACTAAAAAGCATGTATTTTAAAACCACTTATTCCCTTATCCATCATTTGCAGATTTAAAATATTTTTCTTAGTTCCCCTAATAGCAACTGGGAGATCCACAATGACTGACTGGAAGGCTGGCTTTGATCTAAGGTATGCATATAACTATGAATGACATGCTGCAAAATGGTCTAGACGTTCAATTTATTCCAGAAAATACTGTTCAAAATTAAAGGGTGCAGAAATGTTTTTTATTCAGTTCCTATTTCAATTAGCAGTTCTTATATAAGAAAACTGCTTTTCAAACACTGTCCTTATGGACTTTCTACAACATCCAGCATGGAAACGGTCCAAGGAGGGGATATGGGTTATATGCTTCTTTCAACTGTTACCACAGCTTGAAGACTTTTCAGCCTAGTGGGTAGACAAGTGGAAAAATCTTAGTGTAGGCAAGTAGGGAACACAGAAGCCACCGTTTTTATTATTTTTTTTTTTGCTAGCATTCTCAAATAAGTCCTTGCTAAAGAAGCTTGTGGTATCCCCCAGCCAAAATCTTTTGAACTGGCAGAAGAAGGCATCACAGAACCCCTTACTTGCAAACATTTCTCATTTAAATTTTTAACAAAAAGAATCATTAATAATAAGAAAAAAAAAATACCTAACGCTGGTTATTTTAAACAAGAGACATCTGGTAACAGCAGAAACTCACACTTCCTCAAAAGTGTGCCAGGGCTTTGAAAAGCTGAAGCAGCCCTGCAGAGAGCAAGGCATTGAGCACAGTCAGGTCACCGCGCGAGGGGTTAGCAAAAAAATCACCTCAGATAAAAGAGGAAACGGACTTTTTAAACTTAGCTTCAGGAGCATGTTAACGCCCAGACATTTTAAATGAAGAAGAAATACTAGGATGAATTTGTATCACGTTTACAAAAATGCAAAACAAGATTCAAATGTATTAGTTATTACAAGTGGCTGCATAATTAAAAAAAAAAAAAAAAAGGTAAAAGAGTCCTAAAAAGATCATTCGCTGCTTTATGATCACACTACTATATATTACCCTTAACACGCAGGCACACTGGCTAGAATTATAAATCGTTAAAAGGCAGAAGATTAAGCTTTACTAAAACCACCCCCACAAACACTTTTGTCAGTTCCCCGGTATGCCTCCACGCATAATGTTCCTCATGCTGCAGCTTTGCACTCTTGCCCTTGCCATATTTTTTTCTACCTCTGCTTTGTTGACAATAGTGACTTCAAGGCGAGTTATACCTAACCTAAATTCAAGTTAAGTAGACTCATTTTAATTAATTACTTCCTTTGAGTGATTTCTCAGCTCAGGACGTACGGAAAGCGGTAGAAAGGTGGAGGTGGTGACAGACAGACTGCCCCTTTCAGAGGGCATGACTGGCAGGAGCTGGCTTTAAAAATGCCCCCTATGAACTTGTACAGAGTCTACCAAGAGCTGCCCAGTCCTGAGCAATGACTACTTATCTTGTGGAATAAACACATACTTTACTCTACAAGAGCAAAGACAAAGGCAAGTAGGAGACCTCTCCATGTAACTGAAACTAACTATATTCAGATATACAAAATAGTTATGCAAATACAGTAAACCACAATCCAGCCCCAAGCACGTGGGATAAGTAGCAACACCAGCATGGAGCTGTCAGAGTCTGTTAGTGTGAAGTGCTCTAAATTCTAAGAGTAAACATGCATTTTTCTGCTATCCGATTTCAGGCACTACAGCTAATTTAGAGGGACATAGGTAACATCTGGTTAAGAAGAAATGTCTGTAGATTTAGCATGCTAAGTTTTCTCTAATGATGAATTTTCTGAAAATCATTATAAGAATATAAGAATGTAACATCCATTCAACAGTTAAGATATTTTTCCTAATTTAATCAGACACTCCTTACCAAATCCCATTTCCATCTCAAAAAGAAAACCACTTATTTTCCTATTCAATCCACGTTATTATACTACAGATTAATTATTCTGAAAATCCAGCTTAATTAAATCAAAGGCCTTCAGCCACAGGAAACAGAGCAAAGCAAGAACAGTGTTTTAAATGGCATTAAAATCATTCTTTCTGTTCAGGCTAACAAGCATGGTACCAAGTGAAAGGAGAATGAAAGACAGCAATTTTATCAGGAAGTATTGCATATTTAAGCAAATAGCACATCAAACTACATATAGTATTTCAAGATCATCAAAAGTCAAGAGTAAGCTAACGAGACAGAGGTGGTAATGAGAAGATGAACACATGCTCATGGGTTTTCTGAGAGGTACAACACCATAATTCACCACAAATTCTCCAACACCCTCACAGTATGCTGCACTGGCATGTTTGTAACTGTCAGTGTGGGTGGACGTGGACAAACAAGAGCCCCTTTGCCTGTGCTCAGCCTCAGCTGATTCTGGAAGTTACAGAAGCGTGCCCTGTGATAGCGAAAGGCGGTATGCAGGGCTACACAGCAGGGCCAATTAGCTCAGGTGCAGTACCAAGCTAACAAAGCCCCACAGCTCGTGCTTGTGATGCCTGTGTGGGACCAGCTCACAGTCTGGGCAGAAGGAGTGTGTACCACCTCTGCTCAGAGCTGGGCAGGCTCCGAAACACCCCAGGAGCACAACCCGGCCACGTGCAACCCGCGAGCACAGCCAGGCCACACGGCCAGGCTCTGACAAGGCCTGCTGGGGAAGGCACGGCCCAGTGGGGGGCTTGGGGTGACAGCAGCCCTGAGACCCTTGGGCCGCAGAAGCACCAGGATGGGTTTCCCCTCCTTGCTGCGGCCTTGGGGCCGCTTTTCTTTCTTCTGTCTTCACAAGAGTTTTTTAGATATTGAATGAGCTTTATAGATTTATAAACAAGTAACAGCCTGACCTAACAATGTATCAGTTTAATCATTAGTTTCCACTTTCCCCCCTTGTAACATACTTTTTCAATTTCAAAGGTCTTGCTTAGTCATAACACGCTGATTTCACTACTCCAGCAGCACTTGTCAATAGTTAGAATGCTGGTCTTACTAAAAAGCTGCATTAAACAGATCACTGGTAAAATTTTCCACAGCACTTTTTAATGTACTGGCTATGATTCTGTTAAAAAATAACAGTGACTTTATTCTTTGCGTATTTTAGTAGTAAATTATTTTAGAAATATCCATCCTTTGTTTGCTATTTTGGTGGAATTAAAGCCCAGATGTGATGCCCATAGAAACCATTCACTTCAGTTCATCGTGATTAGGGTCTAG